GTGTAGAAAAGAAAGAAATTAAATTATTGATGATCAGAGCTGGAAAGGGAAAACATGGTCAGATGGTACTATTAACATTGACAATTCATATGATTTTTAGTTTACTTACTGATGTGTCTGTCCCAGCATTCAAATGAAATGTAATGTACTCCTTTGAAGTGGTGTATCTCTGGTGTTTAGCAGAAGATAAAAGTACAATCTTGTTTTCAATGACATTTCCAGCMCAGCAATTTCAAAACCATGAAAAAAATTTAAAAACATTTAATTTTAAGTGTTCAGGAAATAGATGATTTGTCACAAATGAGATAACTTTGTCTGCTAAAGATTCACTCTTTTTACTTTCCTTAGTACCTAGAAATCCTAAAATGTAACATTTTGGGCCACGATGATTTTTTCTCCRAGGTGAAATGTGCTCTTCCCCAGCATGTAAACTTTGTGCCAAAGTGTAACCAAAGACCCTGCAAGGTTTTTGCCTGATTATGCTAGAAAGCTTTCCTAATATTGCTACTGCAGAGTTTAATAACCATTCTTGCCCTACAGATTTTGTTCGGCTGTTTAATACAGGTTTACTTTCCTATGGTACTTAACAGGCTAGACGTTKTTCTACTTGTTGACTTTAGGATATTCCTGGAGTCCAAGACAAGGCAACATCTGGAGCTTCAACCTTAAATTGTCTGGAGTAGAGACCTACATATTTCATAAACTAYTACATGTTCTTATGGTCCTTCTTCCACATGTCTCATGTGGAATGTCCTAAACATTCACATGTCCTAAACAAGGACAACAGTAATCATCCCACACTAGATAAATTGCACACATAAGAAGTGTTTTTTGGGGTAAAAGTAAGGGTAACRCATTTACATTTACTCAGCCAGATCATTCTAGGCGTAAGGATATATTGTCTCCAATATTCACCTGCTCTGAGATACAGTTATACATCAATAGCTATTATGTTAAGCACGTTGTCTTGTGTGAATGGTGGGCTCTTTTGATCATGTTTATGTATTGATAAAACAACCAACCAATAACTATTTTGTCAAATACTTACTTGCAAGACTCAGTTTATTTTCCTGCGGATGCTACATGTTTAAAGTCCTTTTTAATGGAATCCGTGAACCATTGTGTAATTTATTGCACCAGTTAACAAAAGCCAATACCTTTGCAAGTAATTAAATCAGTTTAAAAATGTTGCACAACTCACCCATCTGTTTGAAGTAACACCTAAATTGCAGTATAATACCAATTAAAAGGTATACTTCCATAATCACTACTTCTATGACAGCACCTGCACTGTGTGCAAGTATGTTCCCCTATTAAAAATGTAATTTTAATTACATGCTGTATATATACTTTATTCTAGCCCATTAGTTTTATCCCCGTGTGTAGAAATGCTGAATCCAAGAAACAAGGCAGTAAATAATACTGCCTTTTAATGACCAATTAAAGCAGCCTATCATCAACCTTGGCATCAGCTGCGTTACTAATTCGAAGTACTGCTATGCTTTGAATAAAACGGTGCTTGGGAATTACAGAGTTGGCCTCATCCATACAGGATACCACTCTCCAGAGGCAGCAGTGTTCCATTTCATAACTCATCCTGCTGATGTGATGGGAAACAGAACACAAAGCCTCAGTGCACCTTGAATTAGTCCTGARTGATCTGGACCTTTTTGTGGCCTTTTGTGGAGGGGAAATGATGTTCTGCATAAAATTCATTAACTGCATACTTTTAAAAAGTCTGTCTATGTAGACAACTGTTGAGGAATACTTTGGTGTAGGTAGCTGGGGTGAGAGCTACACATTGGGCTCTGAGTGGGACACAGGAAGCTGTGAACTGGCCATCCTTTGCATGCCAAAGGGCATGAGGAGGTGCTGGGCTGCCAGGGGCATGAGGAATGGGTGCCRAGCCATGCAGCGGGCAGAGGAATGGACACTGAGGGATGCAGTCAGGCTTTCCCMCGCTGGGACTGTGAGGGGATAAAAGCCCAGGGGGTGCCTTTGTTGGGGCCCCTCCTCAGAGGCCCCAGCCCGAGCTGTTTCTGTGTCACTCCRGTCCCATCAGTGGAAGTGTGGCCTTGGGAGTGTGACTGCCAGAACCGCTGGAAGAGGCAGACTGGGACATTTCCTGTACAACACCTACAGTGTCCATAGCTAGTGTCGCCCTGTAGGCTTCTTGTCTAGATGGTAGCAGAAGTTCATTTTCTGCTTTAAATGTGGTAATATTAAGCTATCCTGTCTAGTGAAACTAATCCAAAAATGCAGTTTTAGATACCTCCGACACTGGGGCAGAGAAAAGTACTGCTGTGCTCAGCCTTCATGCAAATACTCTTGTAACAGATTCAGTACCAAATGTSTGACTGTAAGGAAGATCGGAGGAGTGTGGAGGCAACACAGAGAGAAGAAGCAGATAACACAGTTAAAGCACTGAAATTGTGGAATAAAGTATACTTGATTAAATGGGGCATTGAAGCATGAAAAAATGCCRTTTTGAATTCTAATGAATTATTCAAGGTTATATAAGGAAGGGTAAAAGGAGTAGGGGAAAAAAAGCCAAACAGCCGTAGAGTTGTGATAGTGATCTCTGCAGTCAGAGGCAAGATGAAAGATGATCATTTTTTTCCCATATACCTAAACCAGGCAATATCAAAGAAAAGATTCTTGAAGGAACTACTTCAAGTGCTACATTTCCCCTGAAACTTGCTGAATTCAGTTTGCCAGGTATTAGTGTAGAACTGTAAACTCTTTAGGTAAGGGCCCTCTTTTCATAAAAAATACTGTGTTCTTATTTTTGTGACTGGTTTGAATGGATACTTMTAGATGGGAGAATGCTGAGCTATGTAAAAGCACATGAGGAAAATGGAAAGAGTGATGGGAACAATAGGGAAATGTACCAGATCAAGGCAGATTAAAAGTACTAAAAGCAGAGTGAGGCTAGAGTGCTTTTTTAAATTAAAGAAAAAGGTTGCAATGGTGTAGGGTGCTTTCTGCTTCCTCCTTGCTTTTACTGCTATCCTAAGGTAGCTAGAGGTCCTGCTTCTCTCTGAASAAAGAGATCATGTTAGAAAGTAGGCCAGAGAAAGGAGCTCCTACAGAAAAAAGGGATKTTAGATGATGCAGATATGGTAGGTGTTAACCAGCACACCTCAAGTTTGGGGTRTTTGCTTCCCCCAAATGAAGGTTGTACCAGACTGCATTGCAAAACCACTGCACTTCATTCTGTCCAGCTTRTTACGTAATGCTGCCTTTGCAGAGTAAGTGCTCAAGGATAAATCCTGCATGACAAATAAATCACCTCTTACTCTTGGCTCTTTCAGGTGAGGCAGAGATATATTGTAGAATCAGCTAATATGCAGGCCCAGCAGAAAAAGGGATCTTTTCCTGTGTTAGGCAAGTCATCGGAGCAGATACTTGACACAACTTAATTGYAAATGCGGTTGAATGAATAAAGTACTTTTTTTTTTTCCTCCCTGGATGATTCCTTCCATTTCATAAATGTGTATTTTTTAACAAGAGAAAAGGAAGCAGATGCTATTCAGTACAATGTTCCATGTCATACAGATCTCCTTATTTTTKGCATGTTGCTGCTTTAATGGGCCAGCGTCAGCAGTTTTAAGAAGGTTTTTTACATACTATTTTCACTTAAGGCAGTGCAAATTTCTCTGGAAATCTATGACAATCAATTAAGTAAATGAGAAAATAGAATGCTTGTAATTAAGATAATCAAGCTACATGAAATCTACCCTACTAGTGCTAATATCTGTATATCTTCAAGCTGCCTATTAATTAAACACMATGTAAGTGTTGCAATTAGACTCAGGCTGCTTTGGTGGAAACAAGAGAGATGAAAACACTTGGAGGGGTTTTACTGTATGTGAAACTCTCAGCTGGTTTAAAGCATCTCCTTATGGTTTGTAAGGTTTCTGTGTTGCTGCAGACACTCATGGCATGCCTGAGGACTGTTGCATACTTCAACAGCTTCTGAAACAGGTGACCCAAAGGAAATATATTTTGGTTTACAAAAGCTACTGTTCTTCTCAGGGATGTGATTATTTTCCCCTCCATTTCATGGTGAGTTTTGGATATGGACCTCTAAAGCCAGTGGAAAAAAGGGTAGCTATTTTTTTMTACATAGGAATCTGCAAAGGGAAGAATGGGGAGATAGGAATTTTTCTGACTAGTTCTTACAAGAAAATGGACTTTTTCCTACTTTGGTGGTTTTTTTGTTTTGTGTTTTTATTTTGATAGGAAGACCTTAAAGTTGCCCAGACCTTCCTGAGAGACTAAMCAGTACCTTAATAATATTTGTGTTGGGAGACAAACACTACATGAGACTAACTAGATAATGTGAGTGTGTTAGATTGTGATTCTTCATTTATTTTCTGATGCTTTGTCGGGGCAAAGGGATCTGTCAAGGTCAACATGTGTTTATGAGAGACTGGGGAGKACCCCTTCCCTCTGTATGGGTGACCCTGGTGGTCACGCAGCAACTTGAAACAAGTCTATTGTGGTTTTATGAGCTGCAGGTTTTGGGGCATTTCTCCTTTTCTCCTGTGTGTAGCTTTTGATGGCTGCAAGCACACGTTAAAACACCATGMAAGTGGCAGAAGAGCCACTCTGAGGGAGTCAGAAAGCTTTGCCACTTAGAATAGCCAAACTTGGGTCTCAATGGCTGGGGATGGCAAAGCAGCTGAATAGCACAGGATGAACTCATCTGCTATTTTGCCATGGCTGCATTAATATTAYGCCTTTGGCTTCAGATGAAGTAGAACACCTGATCCATGTGGACATCAGCTTGGTGAAGTTGTTGCACAAATAATGAAAAAAGTAGTATTTTGGGGTTTTTTTTCAATTATTTTTTTTAAATCTGCTTTTACAGCGCAATATTCTTCCTCATGACAAATGAGCCGATTCACTGACATTGTGTATTCAGGTAACACCATTTATGTTTCTAGAAAGAAGTGAAGAAGACAACTTACAGGACACCTTCAATTTTTCACTTGTTTGGTTTTTTTTGGTTTTTTTTTTTATTATTTGACATGGATACAAAAAAAATAGTATCTTGATTAGCAGCTTTGCTGGCAATCCCACAAAACTGGAAATAATACATTAATCTAAAAGAATGCACTCCTACAGACACTATAGATAAAACAATATATACAATTTAGACAAATAAATACAGCCAGTCATATATAATGATACACCTAAAGTTCGGTTACTGTTGACAAGCTTTTCTAGTTAATTACACTCTTCATTTACAAATTGCCATTACCATCTACATTATAACGACAAAAAAATCCTCAAAATTGATGCTTAACATTATTATTAGGAAATGTGAAAAATCAACTTTGAGACTTCTGTTTAAAAACTCTCATGGTTTTAGCAAAATAAAAAAAGAAAAAAATGCTTTTGTGGAAAAATTCCTCCTAAAGAGAGGCACTTCCCCCCAGCTGCTTCACTCAATGTGCTTTGTTCATGTACATTTTGGAATCAAAATATGACAGTTACACTTTTGAAGTGACTAGAAGCCAGCATGTTTAACCAAGTTGTCATTTGTCCCATGCCTAAATGAAACAAAATGACCTTTAAATAATGTAAATATTTTTTTTGATTTAAGGAAGTCTGTTGAAAACTGGTTTCTTATCAGGAGCCCACATGGCACAAATACAACTGAGTGGAAGGGACAACTGTCCCTATGAGTAGATGTATTGTTACCTTTCTATATCCAGGTTCCAATACTAAAATTTCTGCTCAAAGAGAAAATAATAAACCTAAGTGTAACGAGCTAGTGAAGTCTAATACCAGAAAATTAATAGAAGTAGAAAATTAGGCTTTTGTTGTGTTTTTTTTTAAATTCACTTGACAGCAAAAGAAAAAGTCTCTTGTACATTCAAAAGTTAGGGCACACATGCTTAAGGCTCTTGAAACACTGGACAAATATAATGCCTCACTCAGCTCCATGCATAACAGAATGCTACATAGCAAGCAGACTTACACATATATACAGCTGAATACAGAAGAAAATGCCTTAGAAATATGTACATCAGTTTCAAGATGAGCATTTACATTTCTGTTGAAGGTCTATCTATTTATAAATGGCAGGAAATATATTTTTTCAGATACTATTTTCAAGGTGTACCTTGTAATTATTAATGCAGTCTACTTGTACTAGGAGAAATTCAAGGCTACCATGCTGCTTGAGCCCTGAGGTATCTGGATTGGGAGCCCTGCTGTCCTCCTGGTTACTAACCAAAGGCCACAGAAGTATCAGCAGAAATAAGGCAACCAAATCCATTTGCTTGTGATTCAGAACCCCCAAATTACTGCACAGTGCAGAGGGATAGTAGAAGTGATTGCAGCCTGTGAGTTCAAACCATTACAAGCTGTGTCTCTGGTAGGATGGTACCTGTGCTGTCTGATTTACCCAAGGGCTGGGGATGAATTCTACCCTCATTTCCATTCAAAACCAAGCATATTGTGGGACTTATATAAGGAAATCTCAAATTCACCCAATCAGCGTGTTGTATATTCACTTAYGCAATTAGTGCAGTTGTATGTTGGGAGTTCTGAGTTTGATAGGACAGAGCAACTTTAACATGGACTAGATCAACTAGGGAATCATAATTACACTGCAACAAATTTGGCATTTTTATAAAAATTATAGGGTTTTGTTTTGCGTCGTATTATTTATGAAGGGTACACAAGCTGCTGCTAACAGTAACTCCTGGGCTGTCTGTTGTGGAGCTTCACTTTTAAATCTCAAATGTTTTTCCTTGAGAAGGCTCCTGCTAGTGACTTAAAGGCCAGATACACTTTACCTTATTTGCATATAGTTTTTTTTGAAAGGATACTGCTGCATCTGTGAACAAGACTAACAATTTGCCATGAAACTCCAAACTGTTTAGGGGATCACATCTTCATTTCTCTGTTACTGTTTAAAGTGCTGTGTACACCTATGGCAAAATAAGGTCTAAGTTTTCCTGTTTCCTTATTCAGTTATTTCTGACAATTTTTTAAACATCCTGAATAACAYACAGACTTAACAGTTTTGCATGTGTTGCACATAATGCCAGCTGCAATGAGTGAGACTGTGTGTGCTGAGGACAGCATGAGTAATCTACAGCTAATAATATACTTGGTGAGTTTTGGGGTTTTGTAACTTGTGTGTGAGTTTTTCATTCCAAGTTATTTGCTGAGCATTATAATATTTCACCTCTTTGTTATAAGGCGGTGCTGAATAGAAATGGCCTTAATTTATTGAAGAGTTTGCGTGACGTTTCGTAAACATTCATATTCAAAACACACACAAGCACATTATGAAACTTGAATAAATCTTGTGTAYTGGATTTCTGTTGCTTGTCCAGGGGATCTACTGAGTGGGATCTCTGTATGTGTTGACTGTGATGAGTAAACCAAGAGCTTTAAAAGTTTTTTTAAAAAGCTGAGAACCTGGGGGGTTTTAAGTATTTCTTTAAAAGCCCACTATTTGRCTATGAAATTTATACTTAACTGTTATGTATTCTTGCCCAATCAAGAGAAAATTGATTGAATTCTTTCATTGGACTATATTCTTTTCTACACCATTAGACTCTTGTTCCTATATGCACTGCAGCAAAAAGTAAAGCTTACCCGTAAAAAGCTGCTTTTGTTTTACTTTTTTTTTTAGGTAAATAGTGCACTGACTGATGTTGAAGAAATATGCTGCTTATTGATACTTGCAGCATTTAGTATCATTATATATTGCTATTCAAGATGTTTAACAGAGAATCCATTGATACTAGTGACAGACATTGCCTTGCTTTGAAATTAAGATATTAATGCTTTTCTCATATATTTTTAAGATAGTTTTTCATACCTCTCCCCATCTTATTTTGCCTACAGCTTCTACTTAATTTGTAAATTGYGTTACATATTTTATTTAACTATTGTAGGAAGTGTAAAAAACGGGTTATTCTGAAATAATTCAAAGAAAACACCATTTGGTGAATGAAAATGTATTTCAGTGTGTGGGTTGGTTTCTAAGGCCAATGAAACTCTGATGTTCTTACCTGTCTAAATTCTGCTATTACACCATTAGTAAGCTATTTGGGACTTGCACACATTGTACTATAAAATACACGCCAGAGTAGGTATATACGCTCAGTGCAAATGTATGCTGCCTAAATTTATTAGGCTCTAAATAGAGACTGTTGTAGGGTGTCAAAAGAAGAACACTTTTGTGTATTAGTAGTTCTTCATTTCTCAGGGCCTGAGTCTTATCTCAGAGGCTGGGGTGTGAGTTGTTAAGCAGCTCAAATTAGTTTATTACTGTCCTTTTACACACAGATGCAAGAACTGATATGTGCAATAGATGATAATATACAAAATCCGAGATTTCACTCTAGATTCTTTCAGTTGGCATAATGTCCTTATGAAAAAGAGCCTGAAGTTTGTAAACCAGTAGTCAAAGCGAGAATGAAAAATCAGTCATTAAAAATCCTCTCACAGTTAATATCCCACAGTTTAACCTGTAAATCAGCAGATCACTTTGTCAAAAAATAACCAAACTCAACCAAAATTTTTAAAAAAGGTATTTACATCTGTAAAAATTTTAACATCTAAGATGTTTCTTGCTGGTCATATCATTCCAAATTCTGTGCATTTCTTCTGGTGTTATCTGGTGCACAGTGATCACTCTGCGGTACCTGCACAAGCTGTAGGCCATTTTCCAGTGATTGAAGCCACTGTTTTGGAAGGGGTGAATGCCCAGTTTCCGAAGGCATAGTCCAACGTACACATCTTCAAGATGAAGAAGTCTGGTATGAAGGGAGGTTTTGTAAATCATTTCTGCTACATCAGCTGAAAAAATGTAGCCAGTGCCTGAACAGAAGGGAGGGTAATTGCTGTCGGGATACAAATCTCTGGGCATGTACCACTTGCTGCGAACATCTCGTATTGGTCCTCCGTTTATAACATAGCCAGTGAAGTACCTTCTCCTTGGCTTGGTGTTAGGTTTGAGCAGCTTATAAATAAGATTGTCCATATTTACAAAAATATCACTGTCTGTTTTCATAACGTACTTTGCTTTTGAACAAAATGTTGCTACCCACCTCATCCCCATCAATGTTTTCAGAGTGAGGTTATGGTAAGAGTCAATAAAATCCTCCACAATAATGTCATGAAAAATTTGGCTTTCTTGCTCTACCATTTGATTTAACACAGGATCTGAATTTTTTCCAAGAAGAAATATTGTGGCGATTTTAATTCCTTTAAAGTTGTTTTCATCTCCCCACGTTTCTCGAATGGCTTGCCTTGCATCAAACTCTTTATGAGTTGTACTGATAAGAATGACCAAGAATGGGGCGCTCTTCTCACATTTGTTGGGCTCATTGATAAGGAAGTCAAAGGAATGTGGATTTATAGGTCGAGTTCTTATGTTGCCRAAGGAAACGTTTTTTCTGGCTATGGATATACTACTGACCTGTCTGTGGCCTGTGTAGGAAGAAGTAGGACGAGTTATACTTAAGTACCAAAGAGCGCTTGCCCAACAAACTACTGTCAAAATGTATAAGCATGAGACCTTTGAAGCCATTGTTCCTCTAGCTCTTCTATTCCATGTGATGAATAAATAGCCTTTGTTCCATGAGTGCACCTGTGTCCTGGAGAGGCAGCATATTATTAATGGAACTTGAAAGTTCGATATAGGAAAGTAACTCTGTAATCATTCATGGATCTCAAATAGGAGCTATTAACCCTGATGATACTCAGCTTTTCTTCTTTTACTAGCAGCGGCTTCCATTTCTTGGAATTTTCTGTTATTTCTGAAAAATATGAAGAAAAAATTTCCATTGCAAGATCATAAAAGCCTAGGGTAAGAAGAATGAGCTTATATATGGTTGGCCATTATTAAGCCAAGTGTCTTAATGCATTTCTCAGATATTCCTTTTTTTCTCATGAAGTAYGAAAATACAAGGTAGTATACTGGAATAGAGCAGTGTAACTGAAGTAATGCTTTTATGATTGGTAGTTTCTCCCAAATGGTTTTATATGAAAAAAGTTAAGCATGCATAGCATGTTGACTATTTAGATAATTTTAAAGGTATATTAAAATAATTTTATGATTTTCTAGCATTTTTTTGCTTTCTAGCATTTCTTCTGGACAATCTCTCACAATGTGCTATGGAGCATTTTAAAATTATTTAAAGAATGAAAACCAGTGTATTTTATTCTAGGATCAACAGCATGTGTACCAGCTATGTGCATGAATACCTACAAAACTGATTTGGTCTAAATCYTAATGTCTGGCCAGCTATAAAGAACATGCTTAAGTGGAAATCAGACAAAATGGAACTGATTAGGAAAAGTACAGAAGAGAGAGATACGTATGCTGTCTTACCCATGTAAAGATCAGGGCTCGAGTAGACTCCATAAAAGTCTAAAAATAAATTAACACAGTTCAGTTATTCTTATGGACTTCCTTCCTCTCCCCCCMACCAGTCTTTTCATGAACAAACATMATGGGTGTACCACATAAGATAAATCACGATGGCAGCCTGTTAACAGTGGCACTTTGCTGGCTGGTGTGCAGAGATTTGTCTGCCTGGACAGGGTTCCTGTGCTGGCAGCCCCATCCTGTGCTGTTCCAGCCTTGCCTCCAGCATTGGGAGTTTCGAGACTTTCCTGGATTGAGGGAATGTGCCAGCCCTGAATCTTCCTTTGCTTTTAGCAAGTTTGCTGGGAACCAGTTGTGTTTATCATCATTTTGTGGAAATGAGACAAGCTGCCTCAAGCTTGGCAGCTCAGTGCTGACTCCTCTAAGGCACATCAGTGGCTGGAGAGTGCCTGTAGGCTCCACCCTCCTGGGTTTTACTATTGCGTCACTTCAGAGCTAAAGAATAGTAGAAGCATGCAAAAGAGGAGTTTTTTGCAAAAGTCTCTGAAATATTTAACATTTCTTTTGGGTAGAGCAAAATATGTATTCAGATAAAAAGATAGAAGTCCTGTTTTAGAAATGTCCTTTCTGATTTCACACTCTCTGACACATTGCAGTCAGACCCCCTCTAGGCAGGCCATTAGAGTGAAAGGACTGTTAGCTATCCTGTGTCATTTTTTCATGCTGAGGTTTAAGAACAGCAGAGAAGCAATCTGAACATTTGCTAAATCTATACAGACTGTAACCTCYGTATAAATTCTTATAGCTAACACCATCCTGCTAGTCTTCATTAAATGCTYTTCCCTTCCACAAAATAGGGTAATGTGAATTTTTTGCCTGTTTCAGAGCTTCATCACATTCAATTGGTTTTGCCTTATAACTGGGAGAATTCGATGATTGGATTGGTGGTCTCTTTCATTACTTGTCACAGGACTCAGGGTTTTTAATCTTTTCCCACCAAGCAGTACCATCAAATATTTGGGAGCAGTGCCTTTAAGTGTGATCTGTAATTGCTCCACAGGGCTGCAGAACACAATGATGTTGGCAGGGCAGGCATATGTATGTCCTTGTAAATAAATACAGGTGTGGTAAATAAATGCACAGATGCTACTGTAATGTCTAGAGAGGGGATGTATCCTGCTGTAACGATCGGCTGTGATACAGTTCTGAGAAAGGCAAAACCCATCCAWGATCTGGTAGAYTGGTTTTGTTTCTGGCTTTGTGGTGAAGCTCTGCTAATGCTCCCACTGGAAATGCCAGTGAGAAAAATCACCAAGTGCAAAATGCCGTGATACAATCAAGACACAGGAGTRTAAAGTCTAGAAAACTGTTAATAAAGAAAGATGGCAATCACAGATTGGACATGTAGAGCAAGAGCTGTGTAGGTCAGTGTGTTTAATCAATTCCAGCATTAAAGTCTTGCAAGTGCCATATTTTGCATGCAATGTATTATTTTAGAAAACAATATGTTGCATTAKCTAAAAGTGTATGATGTTGTACATCTTTTCTTTCATAAGGGTAGGTGCATTAGTTACCATGAGCAGATATCTGAGAGAAAGGAAAAATTGTAACCAATGTTTCTTAAAAACTGCAAAATTACATAAAATACCTTTTCAGTCCAGCAGTGTCATGGCTGTGATATCCAATCTTTTGTGCCTTGAAAGGGTTAGAAGCCTTACTCCATTTTGAACAAAGATTTCAAGCTTTTGTAGGGAATTCTTTTTCTCAGTTATGAAATTTATAGATAACTGTGCGAGATGAATGTTTCATATAAACAAGATTATATTTTTCTTTTGCATAGTTGGTGGGGTTTCTTTGTTTTGCTTTTTGTGTTTTTGGGGTTTTTTTTTTGTTGGTTATTGTTTACTTTGCCTTTTTAAAAGGAAGATATGATCAGAATTACAACTGAAAGCTCTTCAATGCCCATGTTAGCAGTTTGCCCAGAAGTTGTTCAGAATATTTTAACCTCATTGTAGTAAATAGTTCAAAAGTTGCCTTCAATATTTACGTGTGTAACAAATTTATATATTGTATTYTAGTCTTGATAATGGATTCAGTATATCATCACTGTAAGGATGACTTTTTCCAGTTGTGCCGTGATGATCTTGAATTTAATGTTGGAATTTGAAGACCTTCTGACCAGGAGAATGTGGRATGGCCACAGGGAGAGTGGAGGGCTTTAATCAACATTGGATTTTGTCTGTTGGAATAGCGTATATCCCATTTGGGGACATTTACACAGGCAAAGGATGGTGTTTCCTCCTTTACTTTCTTTASAGTGAAAGAACGCTTTCTAGCAGGCCAGTAGCAGTGTTTAAGCTCTTGGATCCTTGTATTTAAAATCCTTTWAATTCAATCTGTCCCATTTTCTAACCTGATTGTCATACTATAAGTAATAAAGGCTCAAACATTGAGGATAGATAATTGTAAAAAGCAAATGTTTGGCATCATGCTTCTGTACTGTGACACAAAGTCATACAGTTAATTGCACTATTCCCAGCTCATGCTGTGCAAGCCAGAGAAGCCACCCAGTCRGAGCACAGAAAGCTGTGCTCTGTAACTTCTGTAAGTAATTGTCTTGATGAAGACTGTATTTGCAGCAAACCTTTTATGAGCTGACTGCACATCAAGAATAATCCTCCAGATAATGAGCACATTTGAGAGTCTTGTTAACTGTTCATGGGCAATTTTCAGGCAGATGCCGAATGAGTTCAGCAAACGTTACTTATCAGTGGCAATATTTTGCCAATATTTTGGACTGCTGCTGTCTCTGCTGAGAGGCTGTTGATCTTTCTTTCAAGAAAGCCTGTCCTACGTGCAGTTGCATTAAGGTGTCTAGATCAGTGGATGCCTGTGGTAGAAGCACAGCTCTTGAAGCCTGGCTGATTGTGATAATTGCAATCCATCCCATGTCACTGCTGCTGAGGGAGATGCTGAATGCAGGCACTCAGGATGCTGAGGCCTGGGGATTGCCCTGGTGAGAAGCTGAGGGAGATCACAGCTGACACCCAGGCGTCTGTCAGGCAGAGCACAACTGAGTCAAATTAACACTGTGCATCTCTGCYGAAATGTACCTATTCCTTTCCCTGGAAAAAAGAGGGAATGCAGCTGCTAAATTATTTAGTAAATGTAATAAACACTTCTCATTTTTCCCAAAAAGACTTTTTTGTAAGTTTTCTATGATCATGGCTTTCATCTGTCTATATAGACCAAGATGCTGAAATGTCTTCACCGTTTATGAAGTCCTTAAATTACCTAAGGARAAGTCTGTGATTATTACTGAATCTTGTTGAGAAGATAATTAGACTGAACATTAAGAATGCATCTACATGAGAATCTGGGGATGTGTTATGTTCTAGGCTGTATGTTTTCATAGTAATTTGTGGAGGAAATTCTGGACAGATGGCACAGGTGATTTAACAGGAGATTGCAACYGCATTTCTGGGAATTTCATTTAAGGTTTCTTAAATATTCTGAATGCTTTTTCTGCCTGGAGGTAATGGATCTGAAACCAAATCAGTGCTGCAAAGAAAGACCTCTCCCTCTATAACCTTGTGAAAAGGGGATGTAACAGATGCCAAAGCCACAGTCTTGGGCTGAAGGGAGGAAAGTACAAGCATTCATTTCAGGTGAATGTTTTTTATCAAAATAAGTTCTTCTGTTTAGAGGACTCATAGTTGTCATATGTTAAAAGAGGCTGGTTTCCCTTCTTTCAAAGACAATGTTGATAAATATTTTCTGATCATTCCTTTTTCACAGATATATTGATGATAGGCTTTACCCTTGGCAGCACCTGAATGTGAAAGCAAGTATTCTGCACAAGTGCAAATTTCATGCTAAAGTTCTCTTTTCATGAATGCTGAGTTGCAGATAACTTTTATTGTAGTTCATCATTAAATTGAAAAAATTATYTCTGGAAATAAATGTCATATTGATAAATTTTTTTTCAATATTTACTACCTAAGCTTTATGTAAAAAAGAGGTAAGAATGTACTGTCTATTGGGAATTTTACCAAAGGCTTCTATAGGGAAAATGAAAGTTACAGAATTTTCAGCAAATGTGCCTGAGCTACTGAAACTTCCCTAATCTTTAAAGAGCTACTGCAGTCTTTCAAGAGTTAAAAGTTAAGTGTACATGAAAGTMAATTTGCCTGAGTGACTTTTCTGTATTTTCCACTTTAGATCTTTTTCAGTGAATGTATCTCTATARAAATGAGATTTTCTGTTGTTTTTCAAGAAGTGCTGAGACAACCCACATAAAACAACTAAACTGCGTTTTCATTGCTTTTTTTTCTCATGTTTAAGAACAAATTATGCAGTATGTTTTCTCAGAAAAATAATTTGCAAGTTAAAAAGTAAACACTTTCCACCATGACTAAGCTGTGAAGGGCAGTTTTCAATTCCAGACTGTGAAATTGTTGAAAGAAATATTTAGGAATATTTTGATTAGCAAGACCACCAGATTTACCATGACTGAGGGGAATGGGATACATTACTTGTTAGGAAATGTGAACTTGGCATGAAGGACCATTTCTTGGTTGACAATGTATAGAGGTTGGATCTCAGTGTTGGGTTAAGCAGCTTTTCTCTCTGGCTTGGTTTATACATTWGGAGCATTAGAGCTATAAATTCCCCTCTAAATTTTGCAGCTAGGAAGTATTTTTCATTCTGGAATATCTTCCCTACTTCCTCTGAGCTAACAAGAAAAAAAAGAAGTATGATTTTGTAAAATCTGGTATTCACTTGTTGTTGAAATGGGGTTTTATCCCATTTGGCACATGTCAGCTTTACATTTTCAGTAGCCCTCTTACTGTTTTGATCATATTTTAAAACCAAGTTTCTCTGTCACAAACATACAACGACTATGAGCACCTGGTCACCATKGGCATCACACACATTATTCCATGTGGAAGATGAAAGGACAGACCAGACAGACCCAAGGACTGTCTGTACATTTACAGATAAGTTGGACAGGTTTCTAAAGTTTTGGCAAATCAGCTATGCTTGGTCAGATACTAATCTAGAATGGTTTTAAGCTAGATTTTACTCAATTCAAAGTGATACTAGAACTTGAGACATGCTGGTCAGGTGTTCTGTCTTGCTGTAATGCTGAT